AGATGTAAGATCTTCTGTTGACCATAATCTAAAATCATCAAAATGTGATATATTAGGTGTATTATTCATTCCCCACATAATTACACCTATAAATACATCTATTTCTTCCAATCCTAATATGTCTCTATCTAATATTTTTGCTAAATAATCTCTAGGTATAAATAAAAATTCTTTAGAACTAAAAAAATTTTTAGGATTTCTTAATATGGCATTATTACATAATTTTAGTAATCTTTCACATTTTGTGATTTGTAAAGTTACAAATAATACCTCACTTGCTTGATCTTTATACCAGCTTTTTTCTTCTTTGATCAAATTCTGTTCTAAATAATCAACAAATGAATCCATAATTAAAACATCTGCTGTTTTTAATAATTGCAATTTCTCTTTTATATTTAAATTGTCTAAATTTATTATCATACCCCCATAAATATAATAAAGTATATTTTCAAATAATTTATATTGTATGTTTAATCCACGTAAATCAATATTATAAAACCCATCTTTTCTCCAGGAATTTGATAAAGCCGCCTTAAAATATTCTGATCTAGTTTTTAAAATAATCGAATGAGCTTTAAATGTTTCAAAGTTGTTTTCATCTCCCACGATTAATAGCACGTCAAATGTATCTTCTTGGTTTAACAAATTTAAATAATCATTTGATAAATTTTGATAAGATCTTGTCGACTCAAACAACTTTGGTAACATTTATAAAGACTATTTATATTTTTTTAAAACAAAGTAAAAAATTTTATTATTATGCGCCGTCATTCATGTAATGTAATACTAATACTGTAATACATACATAATAATTTTGTTTTCGATCAACAGAATGCTTCCCTGATTCAGTCATATGGTATTTTCTTTGATTTCATACCTACATCTCCAATCAGTGTTGCAATGACAGTTATTTACCTTTGAAATGTCGGTTAAATAAAGCTAAATAACAAGAAAACATTTGAAGTCGTGAACTTTGGTTCAAATAAAACCACGTGATATAACATTATGGAATCCAAGTGCACGGATAATGTGTACTAACCAAATTAGGATAATTACCGCAGATTTTTACACAAATTTGGTTAGATATCAAACAACCTTGATACAAAAAATTGAAAGGGTTTTCAAATGACTATTTAAGCAAGAAATTAACTCAAGTATTGGTTATTCTACGACAAGTCGAAAGTGTTGTTTTGTTGACACTTTCCTCAAGATGTTCATAAAACTAGAAGCGCTTATAAAGCAAAGACAATTGTAATGGGGCACTTTGAAGGTTAAATTAGAAAGATCATAGAATCAGAAATTGAGAAATTAATTTGAAAATAATGAAGCCAGTGTGGCAATCTATTAATGATGCGGAAGGGGAGAATAAAACAATATGTAGTAAGTGTTAATATTAAATATATAGTAGGCTTTGGGAAGATAATTTGTTTTATGAATTTTATTTTACCAAATTATACTCAAACAACTATAATTTCTGGATAAATGCATTAGTTAGTGTGGTAAATATATCATATCATTTTACATCGTCATCAGTTTTTGTTACTCCTTTTTATTTAATATAGTTCCATCTTATTATTGGTGATGATAATGTTAATACTGATAACAGTGATGAAAATAATTATAAGCGTAATAGTTGATATTTGTTATCAATTTAATTTATTATATTAATATTTTTTAATATTAAATATCAAATATAATAATGCATTATCTGAGGAAATTGGAAGTGGAAAATGATAATTTATTATTGATTATAGTTTCTTTATTTAATAGTAAATAGATATTAGCGACTTGGTCTAGAAAGATAAATGAATTTGATTATAATTTATTTTATATAATTAGGCTCACAAGTACACATCTAATAAAAATCAGTTTCCCTAAAAAGGATATTCAGCAAGACAGAGAAAAAAATCTAATAATGATAATAATTGAAAAAATATCATCGCCATTTTTGAATTCTATAAACAAACAAATAATTTTAAAGTTAACGATTATATTAAATTTCCATCTTAAAATTACTAAATCCACATTGTTTTTATTTTTCAAAAGTTATATTTTCTTTTTTGACATTTTAAATTTTAGAACATTGAAGTCTAGAATGGCAAATGATGTTACTTACAAGTTTATAAAATGTTGAAAAACAGATTAAATCTTTTAAGAGTAGCAATGGGTGTCAACTTTTAATATTACAATTTTAGGTAAATATATTTTATTTATTTATTTTTAATTGTAAAAATTTCCGAGTTAAATTTATAATCTTTTTTCAGAAACCGCTGTTAATATTCACATATAATGTTTAAGAAATAGTTATGGTGACAATTTAATATAAACATTGAAAATATGTTCACTGGTATGTTACACTGGACATTTATTGTCGATGTAATAGTTATTTTCCATAGATGATATTTAATTATTATTAGTAAACTAATTTATTATTATTTATTTAATTATATAGATTCAATTACTTTTTTATAAGAAGGTTGTTATTTATTAAGTTTACTATCAACTTGCTTTTTTTGTTTTTTTATTATACATTCATTAACTGGAAGAAAAAATGGAAAATTAATAATTATCACAATTGTGAGTGAGTTCAAATTCCCACGAGCTACACTGATGATAAATACAATGTGCAAAGACATTGCCGGGACTTTGCAAAAATCCCTTCACATACGTTCGAAATTTATTGTTATCATCTATAAAATTAACAACCTCTTTTATTTTACCAACTAGAACGATGAATTGTGAATTATAATAATCGCCACCACTATTGTAAATTTGATCAATGATAGGTTTAAAAATACAACAAAGAATAGGTTCAATATTAATCCATGTTTTTATTCTTATTAAAATACAATTTAATTAATTTGTTAATGGAATCTAGAATAAGTTATAAATATATTTACATTAAAACTTTTTATTAGGAAAGTACTCGTAATAATCTGATTATTATAATTTACATCTACATCCATATCATCACCACCACCATTATTACCACCATTACTACCATCACCGTGATGGTCGTAATGATGGTAATAATTAAGGGTGCAGACATATTGCCGAACTATAACTCATAGTTATGACACGGCTATGTCGCAACTATGTCGTAACTCTTGGAAGGTTTGCCGTATGCCGTATGCTGTAACTGTTTATCTTTTCTTTTTTTTAAGTAATGTCAACAACCCGAATTAAAAAATGATTTTGTTTGTGATCCTACGGCATACGGTACTTGCCATATGTCATATGTCGTATGCCGTATTAGCGTCGTAACCCTCAAGTGTTCATATGTTTGCTTTCACCATTACCATCACCACCACCATTATTACCATCATTGTCATCATTGTCACCACCACCATTATCATCGCCACTACTGACTGCCATTATCATCATTATTATCATCATCAACCTCGTCTTCTCCTTTCCTTCTTCCACAAGTTCTTCATTTTCATAATCATAATCATAATCATAATCATAATCATAATTATAATCATCATCACCATCATCATCGTCATTATAATTGTTATTATTAATAATAAATAGTTGTTGTTGTTGTCGTTACTAATTACTATTGTTATCACGGCCATTATCATTACTACTATAGTTATCACTGCTATTACTATATAGTAACTACTCTGATAAAGCTGCAGCACTTGTTGTCGTTGTTGTCGCCTTAATACTCAAGATCACTTGTTATTATTATTGTTGTTCATTTTTGAACAAAATTTTTTATTTTGTTTTTTTTTTTTTTTTTTTTTGGATTCGCGTCAATCAAATTCAAAATTCTATTTTCTCCATAATTACCAAATAAACATTTATTGGAAATTGGCATGAGAGTAATTTATGGCCTATGCTTTAAAATTAGGCGACGATTTGTTTTTGTTTTTTTTGACCACTAAAAAGTTTTACTAATGCCTGACTATAAAAATTACGTTAGAAAAATGTAAAAAAGAAAAAGAAAAATATAAGCGCCATAAGTGATAGAATAACTTTTGAGCTTTCATTTGATGCTATTTTAATGACTGTAGCTAAAAAATTGGTGAACTGGACAGATTTTGATCTATGTATTGATCGTTAAAATAAAAAAAGACGTAGCATGATTTAAAAATTCAACGCCTTTAACAAAAATATGTTTCAAAAAAAACCCCCCGGAAAATTGTTGTTGTTGGAAAATTACTAAAAAACAACCAACTTGTTTCGAATAAAATTTAAACAAAGTTTTGTTTTTAAAGTTATTTTAAATCATTTTCCAACTAATCTGACGTTCAGTTTTTTACAATAGGGTTGAATTTTACTGTTTTTTTTTGCAATTACATTATTAGAATGAAAGGAATACAAACACATCATATTACGAGCATTTCTTTCTCAAATATCTATTTCAATATTAATAATTTGAACGAAATAGTGATTTTGGCTCATGGAAGAGTTAATTGTTGGAGAAAATGGGTTCACAGTTGAAATCACGTGATTCACCACTGGTTTTTTCTTTATTCCTTCATAATATTCTGTATCCAGTTATCAAACAATGGAATAAAAAGTCAAAATTTTCAAGGTCTGGGATAATTCATTATAAAAAAAAAAGGGATCTAACTCCTGATTTGTTTCTAATTAGTTTAATTTGATCAAAAAATCAAGATATTGGTAACTAATAGTGAAAGCATTTTGTATTAAAGTATAGTTAAATCGAATGAGCCATTTTTCATACAATCCGTGAATGAATCGGTCACGCGTTTCCTAGAAAGTTTCAAATAATCAATCAATAATTAAATTTTGGGGCGGAGTAAAACTCCAATTGGCTAATTTGAATTTCACACGCGTGAATTTCAAATTTCATTGCTATTACATGTGTGTATGAATAATAATTAAATTTTATTATCACAAACTATTTTTTTTTTTTTAGATGTTCTTCTTCCTGTGGCACAAAAATTATTATAAAAATGTCGATCTCTAAGCAATTCACGAATCTCTTTCTGATTGAAAAATAAATAAATAAAAACACAACTTTAAAAATGAGCGTTGAAATTGGTACTAAAGTTGAAGGTGAATGTCGCACTCGTCGTTCTCACCTAAGTCCTGATAAATTGATTGATTCGCCCGAGGAAGGCGTTAAAACTCTTTATGATGTGGTGCAACGCAGTGTTAAAAAATATGGTGATAATAAAAATGCTTTAGGTTATAGAAAAATTGAAAGGATTGTTGAAGAAGAAAAAGAAATCACAAAGATTGTTGGAGGGGTCGAAAAAAAAGAATTGAAAACTTGGAAATATTTTCAATTATCAGGTTATAATTGGTTAACTTATAATGATTTGGATCAAGAAATTAAAACCATTGGGGCTGGTCTGGTAAAATTAGGTTTAAGTGAAGGGTCTAAAATTGCAATCTTTGCTGCTACAAGGTAATGAAAAATTATTTTATTATATATATACATTTATATTATATATGATACTAAATTTCTTATTGTTATTTTTATGTATATAAAATATATTAGTGCCAATTGGATGCTTGTGACTCATGGTAAGTGTTGCTAATATCTAATTATAAACAAACAATGTATATGTAACAAAGTATTGATTTTGCGAAATCATCTTAATCAATAGGTTGTTTCTCACAGAGTATGACTATTGTGACTGCATATGATACCCTCGGAGAAGAAGGTCTTCTCCATTCAATGAATGAGGCAGAAGTTAATGGAATATTTACTAACGCAGATTTACTTCCAATGGTTAAAAAGGTTGCTGGAAAATGTTCAACTCTTAAATTTATAATTTATGATGGTGATGCAAAAGTATCAGTCTTGCAAGAATTGTCAAATGCTCACTCAAACCTTGGAATTTTTACATTGGAAGAACTTAAACAATTAGGCAAAGATTATCCAATAAATACAAACCCACCAAAATCACAAGATGTATGTTGTATTATGTATACTTCTGGAACCACCGGTAATCCAAAAGGCGTCATATTGACTCATGCTAATCTTGTTGCAGCAAGTAAGTTTCTTTTAAAAAAAAAATTTTTTTTTTTAAAATTAAAAAAATTTGATACCTCCTTCTTATTCTATTAATTCTTTCACATTTAGTTGGTGGCGTTGAAAAAATGCTCGGACATTTAATTCAAGAGGATGACACATTCCTTGCATACCTTCCACTTGCTCATGTTCTTGAGTTTGGTGTGGAACATGTATGTCTTTGGTGGGGTGTTACCTTAGGTTATGGATCACCTCGTACTTTAACAGATTCATCTGTAAGAAATTGTCTTGGCGACATGTGTGAATTGAAACCTAGTGTAATGACTGGTGTGCCAGCAGTATGGGAATCAATTAGGAAAGGTATTCTTTCAAAAGTCCATGGGAGTAGTCCAACTGTACAAAAGATTTTTGACGTAGCTTTCAAGACTAAAAGTTGGTTAATGGGAAAAGGTTTACCCGCCAAACCTTTTGATACTTTGGTATTTAATAAGATAAAAGAACAAACTGGTGGAAGATTGAGACTTGCATTGTCTGGTAGTGCACCCATCTCTAAGGAAACACAGGAATTTTTATGCGTAACTTTATGTCAAATATTTCAAGGTTACGGTATGACTGAAGCTTGTGGGTAAGTCTAGTCGATTAATTAATTAGTTAACCAACAATATCCTGATTAATAATTCTATATTGCATTGTTTTTAGTATGGCTGGTACAATTCTTACGCCAGAACTGTTTACTTATGGCAGCGTGGGAACACCAGTACCTTGTACAGAAGTAAAATTAGTTGATGTACCAGATGCTGGTTATAAATCTACAGATACTCCCAATCCACGAGGAGAAATTTGGCTTCGTGGGCCTGCAGTCACACCAGGCTATTATAAAAATGAAAAAGTGACCAAAGAAACGTTTACAGAAGATGGATGGCTACAAACAGGAGATATTGGAGAATGGAAGCCAGATGGAAGCTTGGCTGTCATTGACAGAAAGAAAAATTTAGTGAAATTGGCCCATGGTGAATATATTGCACTTGAAAGATTGGAATCAGTTTACAAATCAACCTTATTCGTGTCCAATATTTGTGTTTGTGCTGATTCATATCAGTCACGTCCTGTAGCTTTAATTTTTCCTATTGAAGCACGAGTCAGAAAACTTGCAATGGAAAAAAACATAACTGAAACAGATTTTGAAAAACTTTGTCAAGATAAGGAAATAACAAATTCGGTGCTTCAAGCTTGTCTCATTGAGGCAAAGAAGGCAGATTTTAAACCCGCAGAATTGTTATCTTCAATTACATTGTTGCATGAAGAATGGACCACCGAAAATGTAATTCAAGAGAAAATATTATAATCATTATTGTTATTAATGTTATTAATTGTTCATTATATTTATTATGCCATTGCCTTTTTTTAAAAAAAAAATAGGGACTTTTGACAGCAGCACAAAAAATCAAACGTAGAGATATTCAACAAAAATACCAAGGTGATATTGATAGAATGTATGGTAAAAAATAAAAGATACCTTATTTAAAACTTTGTAAATGTATTTAAATATAATTTATTGCATGAAAATTAAATTCAATTAAAAATGTATTCGTTATTCGATTATGTAAAAGATTCTTAATATATAACACAATTCCCATCTATATCTCATTATGAAGAACATTTATAGCTTAGAAGCCATACCCATTCTACTTCTAAAACTTGGGACATGCGGACCAAGTCAACAACAATTTTTTTAATGGTTAAAAAGATCAATAAAAAATAAAAAAATTAATTTAATTTTACCAAATATTTTAAAAAAGATATTTCTGCCATCAAGAAATGATTGTAATTGTTGTCAAATGGGTAAAGAAATTGCTTTCGTTTGCAATTGCTACCTGAATTGTAAGTAACTGGTCAAATGCACCCCACTGTTCAAGTGTGTTTAATATTATGTGCAGAAAATATTGTAGTAACTACCTTTTTTATAGAAAGTAGATATTATTGTCTTGATAATATCCAATAATTGTTGTTCACACTTTTTGTTAAGATTATCATTATTTAAAAAGAAAAAACCCAAGAGTTAAATAGCACAGTGGAATATGTCTCCTGTGGTTATTTATATTGAATAAATAAAGTGGTACATCCGGAGCCATCCATGTCACTGTTTACAGAAGCTTTTAAAAAAGTCAAATTGTTTTCAAGGCAAGTTAGAATGGGGAAGAAACCTAGTCAGTTTGCAAAAATTAGTATAAACTTGTGTCTGTTGTTCTTGAATAACATGGATCATACTATACGTTATTATTTAAAGGATGGGGGTAGAATTGTTAGTTCTAGATGTTTCTCTTTAAAATATCCGAGACTTCTTTTACATATGTCACGGAACTTTGGGCAAAAAACCTTTCCGCTTCACCAACTTAAATTTCTTCCCCTTTGGGAATTTCAACATCAAATAGTGGACGCGGTTCCAGATGCTCAGACTTTGTTGCTGTCGTAAATAACCAAGATCACTTACAATTTGCTTTTTTCTTGGTAGAGTTTGAAATAGATTGATTTGAAACACATAAATATGATGTTGCTGCAGCATTTGAACTTGATCGAATCATATATTTAGCTCATGAAAAGAAGCAAGCAAATATGTGTTAGAATATATATATAGTATATAATTAGCACAGCAAGATTCTTATTTATGCGTATGAAAGACGCAAGGTTAGAATAAATCTTCAGGGACGAAGATGCTAAAGTAAATGCACTCGGATTGGTCAAGATAACAGTTTGTTGTATATAGAATTTTCCCTTAGAAATTTATTGAATAGAACGGGACTAGTTGTATACGACATCAATTTCTAATGAAACAATTAAATCCGGCTGTAGAAGGAGCTCGTCTGACAATAGGTGGATTATAGGATACGTCTTGGACTGGAACATTGACTTGATGGGTAGAAAGTCCTGGGGCCCAGTACAAGCAGTAGGAGTATCAGTGTAATAATCAAGAGTACCAAAGTTCTACAATAATATTAAGTTTCTGACGTTTGATTGCAAGAAACACCAATGGTGAGTCAATCTAATCTCTTCATAATATACTCCTGGTTGCCCTGTTACTGCTTCATGTCTTGGTAATGGCGCTGGTTCGCGACCCCAGAGCCTGACCTGATATTAGAAAAGCTTTGAAACATTTTGAAAATATTTGGATAATCAAATAGGTCATAACACATACAATCATGCACCGACCAAATTGCCCATTTGCGTAATCTCTTCTGAATGTATTTTGATTCCAAATACATACCTTATGTGTTGTCGCACTCACAGCACACATTTTGCATTCCAATCATTAAAACTTTGAGACACAACGATCTCACATAGAATTCGTGCATGGGGTAAAAATATTTTCTAAATTAAATAAATTTTTTGCTCAATGAATAAATAATATTATTATTGGCTAATTTTGATGTTTCGACGTCTACGAAGTACTCGGCGCAGCGGTATTTTTTTTTGTAATTTCATGTTTTGAATGTGCTCACATAGCACACACATTCATACACTTGAGTTTTGATTGCTTGAAGATGGACAGGGACGTCATGGCTGAATGTAGAAGGTTGAATTCCATGTGCCGAAATGGCCTGAGAGGGATTTACAGAAAACATACGGGATTCGTTTTTTCCTGTACGCGTTTCGTATTTAATACATCACGTAACTCTTACTGAAAACGTACGTGAAATACGAAGAAGGAATTGAAAATAGAAAACACGCGAAAAAAAGCACAACATGGATTTTGAGGAACTATACAATTGGAATCCTCCCTAACAGCCCAGTCAAACCTGATCTAAGGGAAGATGGGCCTATTTGTTTATTTTGTGAATCCCAGAGACCTGAGTAGACACGCATTATTGTTTCGAAATCAATTCTTTAAAAGTTTCATTTCTGCGATCAAATGCATTGCATAATTATACAATAGTGGGACAAAGGCATTCACATTCAAGAAACTAAGAAAAATACGTAATGATTTTAATGTATAAATTTTAAAAAAAATTGTAAGATAAAAACCGCCGGAGCATGGAGGAAAATACTCAAATCCAAAGCCATTGATGAGTTTTGGTTACTCTGGTGCAAATCTAAATCTTTTATCAATATCACTAATTTTTCTTTCTTCATCTTCTATCTTCTCCCATCTCTCTTCTTTTCCTTGTCAACTCGTTCCTGGATTGCTTCTACTGTTTTCTTCCTAGGATTCATTTTTCGTTGATAAGAATTTTTTATCGTGAAAGCAGGTCCTCCTTTTCTCTCCCCAAGCAACTTGTGAATTCTAATGGCCATTTTACTAAATGAAAATCTGAGCTCAACTCAGTCTTTTTATCAAATATTTGCTTGGAATCCTTCCATAAATTTTCGATTTTTTCTAAACATTTTTTATCATCAGTAAGTTTGTTTGATTTGATTTTTCCTGGCCGTTCGTTTTATCAATTTTTTTGTCTATATTATTTATATTATAGAGTTGGTTTTATAGTGCAGCAAAAAACCAAGAGCGAGCCCAATTAAAAATAGCAAAAAGTTCACTGTCGAAAGTATGCATTTTTTTTAATTAAATTATTGTTGATTAAAAGTAACAATGGTTATTGAATGATTTATGGTTTATGAGAATGAATGAATAAGTTGAAGTTTTAATGAGTTTATTTAATAGCATTAGCACATATTTTAAAATCTAAACAATTTCAGGCTAGTGAATTGATCGACAAAAAGGCTAATCAAAATGATCAGTGCTAAGAAACTGACTGATCAAAAAAAATTTAATTTAATTTATAATGGATAAAAGTAACACTAATGATACCAACGATAACAACAACAGCGACGACAGCAACAGCAACTATAGAAACAAAGACAAAAGCAATGGCAGCGATAATAATACCGATAATAATGTTTCTAGTACTTTTAAAATTTTAGATTTTCTTCACTTTTGTGAACAATTAAAGGTAACAAACAATCAATTAGTCATTCAAACGAAGCGAGTGTATATATAAACTTTTTCAAATTATAAATTTGATAATAGAGAACAAAACGTACAGGATGGGTGGATAAGGGAATCAAAGATCCTGAATCTATTTCAGATCACATGCACCGTATGTCAATACTGGCGTTATTGCTTGATGATCCAACCTTGGATAGGAACAAGTAGTTTATAAATCAAATTTTCATTTTTAATTAATTCATTTGCTCGTTTAATGATTTGATCGTTCGCTCACACATATACTTACATATGGTTCCGAAACAATTGGCAATTTGATTAAAATAGATGTGTAAAGATGGCAGTTGTACATGATTTAGCTGAATGTATAGTGGTTAGTTTACTTTTTTCTTTTATATTATCGTCACTGACATTGGAAAATAATATTGTATAGATATATTTATTAATTTGCATACATGTATATATAGGGAGACATAACACCATTTCAAGGCATAAGTAAATCAGAAAAAAATCGTAGAGAATCGGTAACAATTGAGCGCAATTTTTTTTTCAATTAATAATAATATAATAAATTATTCATATACTATATATACGTACTGTGTTTATAGGAGGCAATGAAACATCTGTGCAAAGAATTACTTAATGACTCTCAACAATCTAAAGAAATATTTGATTTATGGCAAGAATATGAAGATGGAATTAGTAATGAAGCAAAATTTGTTAAAGATTTGGATAAATTTGAATTGATACTTCAAGCATTTGAATATGAACAATGTAATGTAGCTGACTTATTAATTATTTATTTGGTTTTATTATTTATTATGCTGGTGATGGTGGTAGTAATTGTGTGATTTTTTTTCTCTTTATTTAATTAATTAATAGCTCAAAATAAAGATTTAGAAGAGTTTTTTGAGTCAACAAAAGGAAAATTTAATCATTCGCTTGTAAAATCATGGGTTGGAGAATTATATCGCAAGCGTCAAAAATATAAAAATAATAAACAATCAACCAATCACTTAATTATGTAGATGATAAATATTATTACATAGAAATAATCTTGCATAAAGAAATGTATTAAAATATAATATATACAAGTTGCAATTTTTAATCTCAAAAATTTTTTATATATATAGAAAATAATCACCAAAATAAATATTTATTACATTTCTTCATCTTTGTCAGAACTTGGAGATGTTAATTGTTTTTAAGAATTCTTTCACATCTTTCTATTATTAAAGAAGTAAAGGTAGGTATGGATGTAGATAAAAAAGAAAAAATAGAAGATGATATTGACGACAAGGAGGATGATTGGATTGTGCAGCAATCATCGCATAAATGGATTTAGCTTTGAATTAACCTTTTAAAAATATTAATATAAAAAAAATGGTTTACTTTTTATGTTCTTGTTTTGTATGATAATTTCTTTCCAGGTGCTAAATTCAATTTTTTAATTCCATCAAAGATCATGTTAAGTGTACCATTAGGGCCTTTTCCTATAATTTCATCTTCATCAAGAATATAATTGATTTGTTCCCTTACTGCTTCATCTTGAATACCAAATAAATGAACTTTATGTGGACTAAGATAATAAATTTTGCTTACTTGCTGGTCAGAATGGGGCACATGAACATTTTGGGCTCAATCATAGCTATAATGAGCAGCAGCATCAATACTGCAATATTGTGTTTTACCCTTTGAATAATTTTGATTAACTAATTTTCTTTGTTATTCTGCCAATTTAGCCATATTTGCATGATGTAGATGTTATATGAACTTAGCCATTAAAATATTGATTGTCAACTATCAATGTAAAATAGTTGTGACGTATTATTCGATTCTGATGAAATTTTTGTTGTTAAGATATTTAACTGGTTTATCTGCCCATTTTATCATTCCATACCAAGGTCTGGGATTAACTAGTCAGTAACCTCATTCTCTTAGCAAATCTACAACATGCTTATTCAATCTATCGTGTAATTGGTTTTTCTTATCACCTATCCAATCATACAGAATATAATATTCTTCATAATTTCTATTAAGAAAGAAGCAGAGCATATCAGGCTTATCTCTCCTATACATTGCAATCATCTCAGCAATCCAGAGATTGAATTGATTTCGAGTTTGAGGATTTTTCACTTCATGTGGAGTTTAGACCTAAAAATTTCTTATCATTGGGGGTGTTGTCATTTCTTACAGCATTCCAGATTTGTGATGCTAATGATTCAGGTCTTTTCTTATAATTTCTTTCTCCAAACCTTTTGTATAATCCTTGAATGCCCAAAACCGGTTTTAGGCTTATCGCATTCATACTGCATCAGGTCTTCAGATTCGACAATTTCCACAAATCTTTGCCAACCATAATAGAACGATTTCCTAGGTTTCACATCATCAATCTTTGTAAGTTTCATACGATCAAGACATATTGCCATGTGACTTCTATGAATTCTAGGGCGATAGTAGTCAAAATCAACTAGCTTCCCCTTGCCATACGAACTGAATAAGCAACATCTATGGTAAAAGCTCCTTTTTCTCTCAGAGACCAGCTCTTGTAAAGGAACTCTCACACGGATAGCCCATTGTTGAGGAGTTTCATTGGGTTGAATAACTGATAATGCATCGTATAATCTTTCAATCTCAAAGAGTTGATTGTATCGTTCACCACTAAAACTAGAACTAAAATAACGACTAATACACGCCTGAATATACTTCATATCATACCCGGGACGGTTATTAATTGGTTTGGGTAATTGTTTATCTTTGTTACCAAGGATAATAGGGATATCAAAACTAGACATATTTGGTGATTATAATTTATAGTGATTATATTATAAGACTTATTTCAATGTGATTATAGTGCGTTTTAACAATTATGTACTTTGTTGTGTATTTAGGGTTTAGACCTATTATTTTAACAACTATAACTATATGTATATCACGATTCATTTTTTGTTCGATATGATGATAGAACCAGGTTTATTCTTCGTGAAGAAAAAAATAACGATTTTGTGACTGTAACACCGCTAAATTATTTTCTCTATATCACAGGTGCTGTCCGACTCTTCTAAGGTAACAAATGAAACTATAAACAAGTTTTAGCAGGCAAGCTTAATTCAATATTAAATTTCCTGATGATGCCAACGCAGTATTTGTTTTCCTCTGCTGTTTCAAGCAAGGACCCATCCAAACTTGTCCTTTGCTTTTTCAAGCAAAATATCAGAAGTTGTTCAATTCCCTTTTATGATGAATTTTTGTAGGAATATTAAATCAAATCAAACTGTTTAAATAAATAATAAAAATCAATATTAACAAAAATCAATACTTATATTTTCTCTAAATATTACAATTCGCTCTCTATAAACTGCAAATACAAGCCCAATTTATATGTCACACATATAAATTATTACTATCTATAGCAGATTCTCTCTATTTTTCCCAAGCCAAATGGCCCATTACATAAAGAGCATACCTTTTTGTTATTTGAATAATTGCATCACCCAAGTAATACCATCCAGAAATGAAAATTTATGGAACAGTTTTGAAAAAACCCTTAATGGTTTTGATCCAAAAGTCTTTTCTATGTAAGACAATGCATTGGTAAAAAAATTTTTTGACAATGGTTAAAATATGCCATTATCAAAAGGTTGACCTTCATTTAACTAAAACAGTGCATCTTACCACATATTTAACCTAAATCAAATTTAATTTTTACCTGCAATAGCTCTGTCACCCAAGTGATGGTGTGGTTGAGTTTCTCCTCCAATTGTATCTAATGCCCATAAAAATCAATTCAAAAAATAAAAAACAATATCAAATCTAACATTGAACTTAGCTGTAGATTTGATAA